GTGATGGATTAACAGACCATGGTACATCCGGGTGATGGAATATTAGTCAGCGCTAAAAAGGAACGGGCTATCAGGCCATGAAAAGACATGGAGGAACCTGAAATACATATCACTAAGTGAAAGAAGCCAGTCCAGAAAGCTGCGTACCGTATGATTCCAACTATATGACATTCTGGAAAAGGGGAAACTAGGAGACAGTAAAAAGATCAGTGGTGGCCATGGGTTGGGAGTGGGGAGGGATGAATGGTTGGGGCACAGAGGATTTTTAGGGCAATGAAAATTCTCTGCATGGTACTATAATGATGGATACATGTCACTGTACATTTGTCCAAACCCATAGAATGTACAACGCCAAGAGTGAACCCCAATGTAAACTGTGGACTTTGGGTGATAATGAGGTGTCGGTGTAGGTTCATCGGTTGTAGCAAATGCACCATTCTGGTGGGGGAGGTTGACAATGAGGGAGGCTGTGCCTGTGCGGGGCCTGGGGGTACATGGGAACTCTCTGCACTTTTTGCTCGATTTTACTATGATCCTAAAGTTGTTCTAAAATATAAGCTTAATTTTTTAAAAAGATAATATATGAGAGTGATGGAAATGCTCATTATCTGGATTGTGATGATAGTGTCAGGAGCATTATGTAAAAACTTATCAAATTTTACACTTTAGGTATGTACACTTATAAATGTCAATTATTCCTCAAAACAGCCGTTTTTTTAAAAAAGGAATGAAGTATTGATGTACACCACAACATGGAGGAACCTTGAAAACATTATGCTAAGTGAAAGAAGCCCGTCACAAAAGGCCGCATATTGTGTGATTCCATTCATGCGAAATGTCCAGAATAGGCAAATTCACCGCGATAGAAAGGAGATTAGAGGTTGCCAGGGGCCCGGGGGAGACAGGAATAGGGAATGACTATCAGGGGATGTGGGTTTTATTCTGGGGTGATGAAAATCTGAAATTACATAGTGGTGACGGTTGCACAACTCTGTGAACAAACCCAAAACCGCTGATCAGATACTTTAAAATTGTGAATTTTATGGTATGTGAATTATATCTCAATAAAGCTATTAATTTTCAAAAAAGAGTTATAAAGTTGTATGGACGAAATGTTTGTGCCCCCCCCCCCATTCATATTTTGGAATCCTAATCCCCAATGTGATGGTATTAGGAGGTGGGGGCCCCTTCCTCCATGTGAGGACACAGGGAGAAAAGACAACAGCCTATGAACCAGGAAGCAGGTCCTCACCAGACACCGAATCTGCTGGCACCTTGATCTTGGACTTCCAGCCTCCAGAGCCGTGAGAAATACATTTCTGTTGGTGGTATTTTGTTATTGCAGTCTGAACGGACTAAGCCACCTTCTGCTGTCTGTCTATTCTCAGCCAAACAGCCAGAGCCTTCCTGTTAAGACTTAAGTCAGATCAGGTCACTCCTCTGAGGAAAAGCCCCCCAGGGACTCAGGTAAGGTCTGGTCCATCAGCCCTGCTGCCACCTTCCCCGCCCCATCCTCTACTTTGCTAATGGAGCTTTGCTCGCTCCGTTTTAGCCATTTTGACCTCCTTCTCTGGCCTCAAGTCTGTGCATCTGCTGTTGCTTCTCACCCAGTGAATATCCTCTCTTGCTCCCTCCCTCCCTCGGCTCTGGACTTAAGGGACTTTCAGTGAGATCTTTCCTGACCCCCCTAATTTTTCTTTTAATCTTTGCTATTTTTATTTGTATTTCTTTGATTTCAAGTGAAATTGAACATTTTTTCATGTTTTCATGTTCTCTTTTTTTATTGAGTTCATAATAGTTTACATCAATGTGAGATTTCAGTTGTACGTTACTTCTTGTCTGTCATCACATAAGTGCTCCCCTTCACCCCCTGTGCCCCCCCATCCCCCTTCCCCTGGTTCCCGCTGAACCGTTTTCTTTGTCCATGTGGTTGTTTATATTCCACATATGAGTGAAATCATCTGGTGTTTGTCTCTCTCAGTCTGGCTTATTTCGCTTAGCATAATTCCCTCTAGGTCCTTCCATGTTACTGCAAATGGGATGAATTTGTCTTTTTTTCTGGCTGAGTAGTGTTCCATTGTATATATGTGTATATATATATATATATATATATATATATATATCTCCCACATCTTCTTTATCCAATCATCGGTCGATGGGCACTTGGGTTGCTTCCATGTCTTGGCTATTGTGAATAGTGCTGCAATGCACATAGGGGTGCATATGTTACTTTGGATTGTTGATTTCAAATTGTTTGGGTGGATACCCAGTAGTGGGATAGCCGCTGACCCCCCTAATATTTAAACTTGCAACCCACAGTCCCCCCCAGTCCCTCCTCCGTGCTTTCTTTTATTATTTATTTATTTTTAAAAGATTTTATTTTTAATTTTTCCCTTTTCTCCCAAAGCCCCCCGGTACATAGTTGTGTATTTTCAGTTGTGGGTCCTTCCAGTTGTGGCATGTGGGACGCCACCTCAGCATGGCCTGATGAGCAGTGCCACGTCTGTGCCCATGATTCAAACCAGAGAAACCCTGGGCTGCTGAAGCGGAGTGTGCGAACTTAACCACTCGGCCACGGGGCCGGCCCCAATTTTTAATTTTTTTTGAGTAAGATCAGCCCTGAGCTAACATCAGTGCCCACCTTTCTCTACTTTATATCTGGGACACCTGTCACAGCATGGCTTGATGAGCGGTGCATATGTTTGCACCCAGGATCTGGACCTTCGAACCCTAGGGCCACCTAAGCGGACAAACTTAACCGCTACCCCATGAGGCTGGCCCCCCTGCTTTCTTTTAATCCATAGCATTTGTTACCTCTAATACTATGTGATTTACTTCTTTATTATTTGCAGCTCCCATTCATGTGGGCCCTATGAGGCCAAAGATCTTTGTTTTGTTCACTGATGTGTCCCCAACACCTGCCACAATGCCTGACACCAGGTGCTTAATAAATGTTTGTTGAATGAATAATGATTGGAGGATAATTTAGGGGGCTGAGAAAAGTTGAGATGAAAGAAGAAATGAAGCCAACAAATATTAAGGCTGCTAAAGATTATAACCATAAAAAAAGGCAGCATGTGAAATGCATAGAGAGCAGCTGTGGATCTTAGATGTCCCACCTTTTTATCCAAGGCCCCTGGCCTGAGCCACCCTTAACCACTTGGCAGAAGTGCCCCAGAGTCTGTATGGGAGGACAGGAGAGGAAGAGGGGACAGGGCCAGGTGGGCGAGGGTTGGAGGGTCTGACTCCCACAGAGAGCCTCTTCTTGCTTCCCTGCCCATGAGAGGGCTGGAGTTGGAGCCCCTGCTTCAGAAACGACATCGCTCCTGAGGACTGCCCCTTTGACAGACAGATGAATCCCCGCAGGGCTGGTGGAGGTGTGAGGATTTGGGGGCGGGGAAGTGAATTGGCACAACTCAGGAATGAGAAACACTGCAGACTGGGCATGTGGGTTGAGGTGCAAAATCCTGAGCGATTAATGATTTCTGCCCTCCCACTCAGACCCCACTCAGACCCCACTCAGATGGGTACTTTCCATTTTTCTCAATCAAAGCTCCCTGTTTGTTTCTTTCAGAGAACTCACCATACTCAGTAATTATCTCACTTGTCTCTTTGTTTATCTGCCTCCCCTTCTGGACTCTAAACTCCAGACAGCGGGGAGGTGGTTTCTCTTGTTCCCTGCCCTAGCTGAGAGTCTAGCACAGTGCCTGGGATATAGAGCAGGCACTTAACATATATTTGTCAAATGAAGGAATGAACCCTGATAGAAGGAAACATTCTTATCATAATGCTTCTCCAATGGAGAGCTGGTGGAGGGGGCACCTTGGTCCTCCTTCCTGGGCTGTGTCTCTTGTTCCGTGATGTGTCATGGACTCCTGGCCCTAAAGGCACATTGTCAGCACTGGGACCTTCTGTCCTAGGCGCAGAGCTTGGTCAATAGCCTGTCCTGGGCTCAGGCTTGGAGTGGTGGCTGTGGGGAAGGGGCTCCTGGAGCTCCCTAGCTCAGACAGCAGTATGAGAGAGAGATGGACTGGAGATGGATTGCATCACAGTGGTCTAGAAGAGAGCATGAGGCCTCACCAGCAGAAGGGCTGAAGAGGAGAGGGCACATTTGAGAAACATTTAGGAGGTAAATTAAGCAAGACGTGGTGATTAATTGGGTATTGAAGAGAAGGAAACTGGGACACCGAGAATGATCCCAAGGCTTTAAAAGAATCAGTGCCACGGCCATCTCTTTTTGGCCTGTAGGTTCCTCCAGTCCAAAGGCACAGAAACAGCCAGTGGACTCCGCCGCCGCCCACAGTTCATTCGCGACGCTCGTAGGTGTCCGGTCCCATGCTGCGCTCGGAGGGACACGCTCCCCGAGCCGAAGGGGCGGAGTCGGGTCTTGGAGACAGACACACTCCGATCACTGCCAGCCAGCGGATAAAGGATACTCTGGGGCGTGGGAGACAGGGTCCGAGGAGTCTTTTTTGGGAGGTATCTAAGCGGTGTCGGCCGGAAGAACAGGTGTTCGCCTGGATAGAAGGAAGTGGGCAAAGTCAATGAGGGCTGGAGGTGAAGCACGAGAAGAGGCAATAAGACAAATGAAGAAACAAGAAAGAGAGCTGTCGAGTGGCTCGACCACACGGGGCGGGGGGCGCGCGAGGATCAGTCTGTGACGCGCCAGACTGAGCGGCGCGCGGAAACCGTGCAGGAGTTTGGATTGATCCCCCAGACCACGGGGAAAGACACGATACTGCCCTAACTCCCAGGTCACCCCGGATCATGCCCAGGGAGGGCAGCCAAAAACCTCCAGGCGGGACCGGAGTGACTGCGTGCCCCCAGTTAGGGACCTCGGAATCGCGGTACCCGAATCCGCGAGAAGCGGCGGCTTTGGGCAGAACCATTCTCCGGAGGTGGAGAGGGGGCGGAAAACGCTACACTCGGAACCCAGCCCACGGAACCAGCTGGAACCTGCACTCGCCTCTTCTCCTTGCTCTTCTCTTTATTTTACGCTCTGCCCCGCCACTATTAGGTCGCCTCCCGCGCGCCCCCCTGTCCCGGGCACCACTAGTTGCTCCTCGGCCGCCCCTCCCGCGCGTGGTAAGGCCCGGCGGGCGCGCGCTCCGGGCACAGGTTATAAAGGCTGGGCTGCGGCAGCCGACTGCGGACCAAGATGCGCCCGAAAGAGTGCGGGCAGAGCTGCGCCGGGGACCGGCCCGGACCCGGACCCGGGGATCCAGCAGCGGTCACCCCCGCACTGCCGCCCGCAGCCGGTCCCGCTCCAGAGCCCTCCGCCGAGCCTGGACCCGCTCCTGCGCAGGCACCGGCGGCTGAGCAAGGAGTGGGATCTGGATCCCCATCCGTCTCGGGACCCTCAGACGGAGTTCGCCCGGCCTCCGAGGCTGGATCAGAGGCAGGAGCCCAGCGCGGATCCGCATTCTCGGCCGTCCAGGGGAATGCCCAGTCCGTGCCCGGCAACTCGGATGTACCGTGGACCCGCTTCATATTTCAAGGACCCTTTGGTCCCCGGGCCACTGGCCTGGGGACTGGAAAGGCTGCGGACATCTGGAAGACGCCAGCTGCCTACATCGGCCGGCGGCCAGGGGTGTCGGGCCCCGAGCGCGCCGCCTTTATTCGGGAGCTGGAGGAAGGTAAACCGGGTCCTCGGGACCCCGGAGCGGGAAGGACTAGGACAGCTCCAGGGAAGAGAGGGCCCCGTCTGGTCCAGGCGCACTGCCCCCTCTTGACACTCAGTCCCACCCTCCCACCCACCCTCGCCATGTCACTGTCTGCGGTGCCAGTCCGGTCGCCTCTTCCCCGTCTCCTCCTCCCCTTCTCTCGCTCCCTGATTTCTGTGGGTGGGCCAGGTCCCGGGGCCTGCGCGCTTCCCCTCCCGGCTCTGCGCGCCTGTTGCTGCGGCAGATCTGAGCGCTCTCCGGGCCCCCTCCTCAGTCTACCGCAGTGCCAGGAGGGGGGCGGGGGGCTGCGGGAGGGCGCTGCCCAGCGCGCTCTGAGCCTGCGCTGGCCCGCCGCGCCAGCGGTGGGGAGGTGGGTGGGCGGAGGGAGGGTTGCCAACCTCTAGGGGGCGGGGGTTAAGGTGGGCTTTCCCCCGAGCCTGGGAGTGGGCGGGGCCTCAGGCAGAATCAGCCGGTCCTCTTCCCTCCCATCCTCTCCTGGGTTTCGGGACATCTCTGGATTGAGTGTAGAGGCTCAGGTGCCCCCCTCTTCCAGTGCTGGAGAAGTCTCTTAACTCTTCTCCTCTGCGCGTGCAACAGGTGCAGGGTGGGTGACTGCGTCTGTTTTTATGACCCATGAGGCTTCCAGTGAGCTGGCCAGGCTGCCCTCCGGCTAACTGATGATGAGTCAGTCTGCAGCTGTACTTCCGCCCGCAGCCTCCATTCCCCTAGGTTCCAGGGACCCAGGCGTCCTGAGAGCCCGGCTCCACCTGAGCCGGGAAGACTGTGATCTCCTTAGTTTACCCAGGCCCCTCTAGAAATAAAATGAGTCCAGTTGACCCTGGGAGCAGGGAAAGGAGTGCTGAGTACTCGGTAGTATGGAGAGGATGTTGGGGGCAGGAAGGGAGCTCAGTCTTCTCCTCCCTTGTTGCTGACTCCTGCTGTTAGGGGAAAACAGGGGATAGGGCCGGAATCAATGGGGTGCCCGGGACCGTATGCCCCCTCTTTCCTGAACTGGCGGCCCTGCTTTCTCTTGCAGTGCTGTGTCCTGACCGACCCCCACCAGTCAAGAAGATCACTCCAGAAGATGTCAAAGTGATGTTAAATCTGCTGGAGGAGGTGTGTGCTGACTTCCCTCCCTGGGCCAGCCTGAGCCTGAGCCAGGCCCCTGTTTTAATTCTGTCCTGTAGGAGTAGGAGCCTTGTCTGTTTCCTGCCTGGCTGCCTCTTTGGGGGCCAAGCTGGGGGCCCCTCTTATGGAAGGCAGGTAGATGTGGGGTATCCAAGCTGGAAGAGCTCTTAGAGCCATCTGGTCTGATGTGTTCTTTTTCTGGAAGGGGAAACTGAGTCAGGCCCCACAGTGGGTTATGGCAGACTCTTGTCTAGTACCCTGGAGAGCTGGGGGATGGCGAGGGTTTCCCCCTGAGCCCTGTGTACTTCCTAGCTTCTCCCACCTAGCTGGGAGATCTCAGAAACCAGGGAAGTATTTCCCATGGTTGGGGGGGGTCCCTCTGTAGAGAGAGCGGGACCTGAATACGGCGGCTCGCATCGGCCAGTCCCTTGTGAAGCAGAACAATGTCCTGATGGAGGAGAACAGCAAGCTGGAAGCCATGCTGGGCTCAGCCAGGGAGGAGGTAACTGGGCAGGGAGGAGGGGGTGGGGGGTACGCCATCTCAGACCTACCTACATCCCCCTCCTGCCGGGACCCGCGCCTGCCCCTGCCTGTGTCCTGACCCAGGGCTCCTCTCCCCTCTGCCAGATTTTACACCTCAGACACCAGGTGAGCCTGCGGGATGACCTCCTCCAGCTCTACTCAGACTCTGATGATGAGGAGGAAGAGGAGGAGGATGAGGAAGAGGAAGAAGAGGAAGAGGAGGAGGAAGAGGAGGAGGAGGAGGAAGAGCAGCAGCATGATCTTCCCTATGAAGCCCCCGAGCCGTGAGTGGTCTGCCTGTGCACCCCGATGCTCCCTTCTCTGAGCCTCAGTTTCCTTTTTAGCAAACAGGGACACAGACAGTGTCACTACCAGCAGGATTGCTGGGGCTAGTTGAGACCACCACACTCAGCCTGGGTGGGAGAGCCCAGGGTGTGCTGGGCCCTGGGTCCCAACTCCCTGACCCCTGACTCCCATTGCTCCCTCCCCTAGGACACCTCTGACGGAGTCGGAGTCGCTGCACCACTGCCCGCAGCTGGAAGCCCTGCAGGAGCAGCTGAGGCTGCTGGAGGAGGAGAACGACCAGCTGAGAGAGGAGGTGAGGATGGGGGAAGAGGGTGCGCCCGCAGGCAGGGGGTGTTGACTCCCCTGCCCCTTCCTCTCTCCCTTCCTCCAGGCCTCTCAGCTCGACGCCCTTGAGGAGGAGGAGCAGATGCTTATTCTGGATTGTGTGGAGCAGTTTTGTACGTGAAATTGCAACTTGGGGTCGGGGGCTGTCCCAAGGAGCAGAGGGAAGAACTCAGGTCTTGGGGTCTGGAGGCCTGAGTTCAAGTCTAATCCCAGCTCCGGCACTTCCTAGCTGTGTGAGCTTGGGCAAGTTCCTTGACCTCTCTGAACCTTCATCTTTAGAAGGAGGATTGATAATCTCGGTCCTACTGACCTCTCCAGGGGCACAGCTGAAGATGTACTTTGTGCAAACTGTAAAGAGCTATACAGAAACTTTGAATCTCCTCTCAGCCAGTCTCCTTTTGTTATTTGGGGCAGGAAGAGAAAGGGGGCTGCAAGCGAGGAAGGGAGGGAGCCGTGAGCTGCCAGAGACCAGGTACCCCGAGCACTGGGGTTGGGGCAGGTCAGAGTTGTATTTTAGGTGGTGGCTGTGCCTGGCACTGTGCATTTATGAAGGTGAGCGAGGCACAGTGTCCCTGAGGAGCTCAAGTCTAGCTGGGGTGATGCCCACTCAAGGTGGCAGCTGAACTCATGCTGTTCCACTCACCCCAGACCTGACATTCCTTCCCTGGGGGTTCCCCAGCTTCCTGAGTGGCCCCATGGGTCCCCAGGCGCCTGGAGGAGGAGCCAGTCGTGGAGTTCTGTTCCTTCTACCTCCTAGGACAGCCTCAGTGTCCTTCCTCCTCCCCTCCCCGGCTGCCTCTGGCCCAGGCCCCCTCTTAACTGGGCTTCCTGCCTTCCCTCCTGCCCTTCCAGTCTCTTCTGCACACAGCCCAAATGATTTTTCTAAAACCAGATCTGACTATGTCACTCCTCTGCCTAAAACCCCCACATGGCTTCCGATTGGCCCAAGGATGAGCACCCACCTGCCCACTGCCCCAGCCACGCCCCCTCCCAGGGTCCCCTGATGCCTCTGGGCCTCTCCACACCCTGCCTGGGCCACGTCCGTCCTTCTGCCTGGTGGAGCCCTACTTGCCCTGTGGAGGTCTTAGCTTCGCAGACCTTGCAAGGCTGGGTTGTGTGTTGCAGACTTGACCTCCGATGCGCCCTTTACAGGCGCCCCATCATAGCCCATAGTGTGCACCACTGTGATTTCCTTTTCCATCAGTCTCCCGCTAGACTTGAGTTCAGTGTGGGCTGGGACCAGGTCATGTTGACTGCTCACCCAGTGCCCTGCTCAGTGTCAGTCAATGAACATTTATTGAAAAGAAGACCTGAGGGAGGAATGCCAAGCCCTGTGGAGTCAAGGGGACTCTGCAGGAGCTGAGGGGTGGGGACAGACAGAAGCATCTGGGAGGGGCACACTGTTCCCCAAAGGCTGGGGGAGCCAGGGCTGACCTTCTCACCCCCACTCGTCCCCAGCTGAGGCCAGCCAGCAGATGGCTGAGCTGTCGGAGGTGCTGGCGCTCAGGATGGAGAACCATGACCAGCAGCAGAGGGAGGTCAGCCAGCTGCGGACGCAGGTCATGAAGCTGCAGCAGCGCTGCCAGCTGGTGCGTCGGGTTGTGTGCGGGGCTCCCTCCTCCTGTCACCGCCTGTGGGACCCAAGCCCCCTTCTCCTGCCCCACCTCATGGAGCTCCCGGCTCAGCCAGGCCCAAGGCCCCTCCCTGTATCAGTCAGAGCTGGAGGAGACCTCAGAGAGCCCCTCATTCTGCCCCCTTCACTGCCCCAAGTTAGGGACCGAGGCCCAGAGAGGGTCACAGGGTCTTCCAGGAACTAGACTGCGTGACTGCCCCTCCTTGTTTGGCCTTAGTTCCTGTGACTTCTTAAAGGCCTGCCAAAGATTCTCTGATGTGCCCGGGAGGACTGGCGGGAAGCGGGGGTGTACGGGGTGGGGAGGCCTCGGGCGGGGCTTCAGTGGTTGTGGGTCCTTCCAGTACGGGGCTGAGACTGAGAAGTTGCAGCAGCAACTGGCTTCGGAGAAGGAAATCCAGATGCAGCTCCAGGATGAGGTGAGGCTCCCCAGGGGTTCCCGCCCCAGGCTGGGGGTCTCGAGGCCCCTGGGGCCACCTGAATCGCCAGAGAGGACAAGCTTCTTGCAGCAGGGCCTGGGTCTGTCCCTTAACGTGCCCTCAGTGACGGGCACGGGGCCTGGCAGGTGGCAGTTCCGTTGGGGTCTGTGTGGAGTGGTGCCCGGGGTCCCCTGCATGTTGTTAGGTGCATCCAGAATCTGGCTTCCCAGCCCCCTGGGGAGAGAGTGGGCAGGGCATACTGGGCTGGGTGCACCTGGGTCCCAACGGAGCCTGCGGGCGGGTTCCCAGCTGCAGGACCTGCGGGAGAAGTACACGGAGTGTGGGGGCATGCTGATTGAGGCCCGGGAGGAGGTGAAGACCCTCCGCCAGCAAGCCCCGGTGTCCACTGGCTCTGTCACCCACTATACATACACTGTGCCTCTGGTGAGGACCCCCAGCTGCTGCCTCTGCCTCGTGTGCCCTGTGTCTCAGCCCTGCTGGCCGATTTCGAGCTTCAGTCCCTTTCTGTGCCTGGCAGTGTGGGCGGGGGTGCTGTGGGGGTCCCCTGCTAATGTCACCCCATGTCCAATGCAGGAGGCACTTCCTAGTTTCCAGGAGACCCTGGCTGAGGAGCTCAGAATGTCTATAAGGAGAATTATCTCAGACCCTGTGTTTTTTATGGAAAGGTATGCAACGGGACCCCAGACCCTTGCCTGACCCCCTCACTCTTGCCTTTCCTGTCGTGGGAGGGGGTTTGCCTTCCTGCTTCTGACCCTCCTTCCCCCTAAGGCCCTCTTCCTGCCTCCCTACACCTGCCTCCTCCAGCACCCAGCCCCTTCCACTCACCACCCTTTCTTCTATCCGCACAGTCTGGGTCCGTCATTTCTCCCTGGGATTTTTTTACATGAGGGGGCCCCGGGGACTTTGCACTTTCAGCCTCCATTGCCTTGGGACTCTAAAGGCCCTTTTCTCTGTTGAAGGAATTATGAAACGACTACAGAGGAGACGTCCAACCTGGGGTAAGCTGGCCCAGGGGCTGTCCCTCACCTTTCGGCAGCCAGATAACCACCTGCAGCAGCTTCTGTGACCCCATGACTCTGGAGACGGCCCCGCTCTCTGGGCTGGCTGGGCTGAACGTTGTTCTGGGAAGGAGCTGCTCCCTTTTCATTCTAGTCTTGCCCCATAGGTGGCCGTCTGATTTAAGGCTGCTCCACATGGGGACCAAAGCGTTCCCTTCACCTGACCAGGGCCTGAGAGGCAAATGGGCACTGGCCTAGGAGCTGGGAACATCTGGGTCTGAGTCCCAGCTTGGCCCCTTTACTGGCTGTGTGTCCTTGGGCAAGTCACTTGACCTGTCTGAGCCTTACTGAAATGGATTTGTTCCTATGGCAGCTAGCTGTGGGATGGGTTGTGAAGGTTAAACAGTGAAGGAGGGGACAGAGAGGATGTTATCCTTGCTGGTCTCTTCCGTTCAGCAGGGTAGGTGTACTCTGGGAAGACGGGGCCTCTGCAGAGTTGGTGACCATTCTCCCCACCAGGGGCGTGGGATGGGTGTGGGAAGCCTCACAGCTGGTACCCAGCTCCCCTCTCCCCTGGCTGGGACAGAACTGGTGAGTGACCACCAGGGTCTCTGTGTAGACTGGGGCAGATTGCAGGAGAGCTCCTCAGTCCCAGGGGCTGGAGATGTCCCAGGGGGAGCGGAAGAGGGGGCTGGGGGCCCTGTCTGGGGTGGGCTTTCCGGGGTATGCAAAGACTTTCCCGTCTCCTCGCCCAGGTACGAGCTGCGCTACGGTGAGGTGCGGGAGCAAGAACAGGAGTTCGAGGCTGAGGAGGGTCTGATGCCGGCAGAGGATTTTGTGCCGGCGGAAAATTTCGTGCCTGCGGAAGACTTGGTGCCTGAGGAAGAGCTGGGGGCCACAGAGGAGGTGGTACCAGCCGAGGAGGAGGTGACGGAAGAGGCAGAGCTTGTGTCAGAGGAGGCGGAGGCCTGGGAGGAGGTGGAGCCGGAGCTGGATGAGACAAGGCGGACCAATGTGGTGACCTCAGCCCTGGAGGCCAGCGGCTTGGGCCCTGCGCACCTGGACATGAAGTATGTCCTCCAGCAACTGGCCAGCTGGCAGGACGCCCATTACAGGCGGCAGCTGAGGCAGAAGATGCTCCAGAAAGGTGAGTGCTCCCGTGGGGGCCTCCCTCCGGCCAGCCAGACAAGCTGCAGATCGTCAAGCCGATGAGAGGTGAGGGTAGGTGAGCCCCCCAAGTGCTCACTTACCCTAGGCTGGCCCCACCCAGCGTGATGATTTGCATGGACTTTGCATATCATTTGCATAGGCACCTCAGGTCCCCCTCAGCAGGAACTGTGACCCCAGTGCTAATTTACATGGAATTTACGTAGGATTCCAGATCTCCACCTCCTTTTCTCCCTGGGGCTGGGCTGGGGGTCTGGGCTGCAGCCCCCCACTGCACTTCAGCTTCCTGTCTCTGCCCACTCCCTTCCCTTATCCCCCACCCCTGCCTCCCCCCATCCCCAAGGCTCCCCAACCCTGCAGCAGTGGCAGCAGCGGGCCAAAACAAACATGGGGGGCGGGATCGTGGAGCAGCAGCCCAGGGTGCCCACCCAGGACTTTCGGAGGCTGGAGGAGGACAGGGTCAACCACCCTCCCAGGGCCTGGGAGGAAGAGGGGCCTTCTGGGGCCACCCAGGCCATTGGGACGAAGGCCTCCGCCAGCAAGGGCCACGGTCGGACCAGTCCCCTGGGTGAGTCTGAAGGTGGGCTCCTACAGGGTGGGGGTGGTGGGTCAGGGTCTCCTCTCCCCAGCTTGAAACCCTGAAGTCCGGGGAGCTGCACCTGCTGAGTGCCATGTGAGCCCTGCTTTTAAGGAGCTTGCAGGAGTGTCAAAGAGGATTTAGTGACGTGCAGTATCTCCTTTAATCCTCACCCCCCCATAGGTAGGTGTGATCATCCCCATTTATTTGGTGAGGTTCAGAGAGTGAAAGCAACTCATTCAAGGTCACACAGCTAGAGTGGACCTGAGCCTCTTCTCCTCACTACTATGCCGTTAGACTTTCCTGGTCCATCCCCACCTCTGACCCTGTCCTGGGGCCTGCCTGGCCTTCTGGGTCAGCCATGCAGTTGATAATCTGTTGCCAGCCTCATCATTATGTGTGGCCGCCCCCACTCTGATGGCGCTTTGGTCACCAATGGGTGGCTTCCCTCTTCAGGGCTGCCATGCAAGGTTGTGCAGTTTGTAACCTGAATGGTGACCTCTATGGCCAGGCAGTGGGCGGCCTGCATAACCACCAATGGTGGCTGTCTCTTTCTGAAATAGCTGACCAGGCCCAGCCCCTGCCCGCTGCCCAGGCCACGCCTGTGGTCCTCAGGCCCCCGGTTCATGTCCATGCCCCCTTCTCTTCCAGGCTTTGCTGTTTCCCAGCAGCCTGCAGAGGCCCCACAGACAGCCTGAGGCCCCTCCTTCCGCTGCCTGGCCAAGTCCCACCTGCCCCAGACCCTCCTTCCCATCCTCCAAAACAGGACTCCCTGTCTGTCACCAGCCCTCCCTCTGTCCTGATGACTCTGGGCCGGAGCTTTAGGGCCCAAGCCTTGACCCTCTTCTGGGAGAGGTTGAAGGAACCCCGGCCCTCATTCTGCAGCTGGTGCAGAAGCTGTGGCTGCTGGGCCTGGATCACATGGTGGCCCAGGGGGCGGGAAAAACCCCGGGGGAGGCCCTCCAGCTACCAGACCCAGCTCTGAGAGGGTGGCGGGGCTCTGGCGCTGGGTATAGGACGTTGTTCTGAGCAGTCTCCTAACAACATGCCCCCCGGCACCCTCCAAGTTCAAGGTGGCTCCCAAGTTCTTGTTGACTTCTGGGACCTGGCCCCCTCCCCCAATTCTTGGCCCTTTTTCTCAGTCTCTGATTACTGTTTGCAACTGGAAGTGTCTCGCGTGGGTGAGGACTCCCTCTGCCTAGTGGCCTGTGAGTGTCCAGGCTCCTGCCTAAGGCCCAGCCCCGCCCTCCCACTGTCCCCCCTTCAGTGCCCCTTGTTTCGTACTTGTAGATGTCCCACCTTTTCCCACCCTTTCCTCATAAACAGCTGGAGTCTGGGGCTCAGGACCCCTATCGGTACCACCCTGCTTCTCGCCGCGCTTCTCGCTGTCCTGTTGCTTGTCAGCCTGTGTACCTGCCAGTGCAGGAAATAAAGGACCTGTGCGCTACCTGGCCCAGCCTCCAGCCATCTGTCTCAGGGAGCATGAATGTGTGTGTGTGTGTTGGTGCGTGTGTGTGTGCGTGCACATGAGCGTGTTTTGGTGGAGCAAAGTTGTAGAGAGAGTTTGAGCTCCAATATTGAATGATGTGCCAAGGGCTTTGATTAAACACATAATCATATCAATAAGCCGGGTGGTGAGTGATCTGATAAACGGTTGTCGAATGGGGAAACTGAGGCCCAGGCAGGTTAAGTGACCCTCCCAAGGAGGAGCTGGATTTGAACCCAAGCCCTTGGGCCTGCAGAGCCCATGCTCGGACAGGCTTCCTTCGCTGATCCTCATGCTCCAGTCGTTGTGACCCAGTACCCTGCTGTGAAGGGTAAGGCAGGAGTGCGTTACCCACTGTTGTGGGCAGAGGTCCCCCAGAAGCAGGCCTAGAACAATGTTTGAAGACACGTAGTTTATTTGGGAGAGGATCCCAGGAAGCACTCCTGAGGGGTTGGGACTTGAGAACAGAAGGAAGCTAATGGAAGGGAGTTTTAGACGCCTGAGGCTCAGTCCCACTGGGGAACTTTGGGAGGAAGTGTAGACCCTTGCAACTCACAGTGTGGTCTGTGGACCGGCATCATTGACTTGCCTGGAGAGTTTATCAGAAATGCAGAGTTTATCAGAATCTCAGGTCCCTTCCCAGGCCTATAGAGCTGGAATCTGCCTGTTAACAAGGTCCCCAGGCAATACACATGCATGGAGACACCAATATGGAACCCATCTGGGTTATCCCACCCAGGGGTGAGGAAGCTGGAGCATGCGTCCTCCAACTGCCATCCGTCCTTGGCTGAGGGCTGCTCCTGGGGCCATTAACTCATTGGCGCTCTGGCCTCCCCATGCATGGGCTGAGGAAAAGTCCCTGGCAGAGAATAACCGTACTTGTAGTAGAACATGGTCAGCACATAATAGAATGGTGAGTGCCGAGGATGCGGGCAGGGCATTGACCGTGTCTGCTACGGTCCACCTCTTGCACCCCTCAGATGCACTCCAGCTCCATGTGGACTTCAGTCTGGCCTGGCATTGCTTCTTTTTTTTTTTTTTAGGATTTTATTTTTCCTTTTTTTCCCCACAGCCCCCCGGTGCATAGTTGTATATTTTTAGTTGTGGGTCCTTCTAGCTGTGGCATGTGGGATGCCGCCTCAGCATGGCCTGATGAGTGGTGCCATGTCCGCGCCCAGGATCCAAACCAGCGAAACCCTGGGCCACCAAAGTGGAGCGCGTGAACTTAACCACTCAGCCACAGGGCTGGCCCCATGGCATTGCTTCTTTAACATGGTGGCTTGTTGCAATATCTTAAAATCAATCAGTCAATCAATAAACTTATGCCCGGAGGGTGAGTGGTCCCCACTGCTGCAGTTGGTCTTGAAGCCCTAAATGATATTTCTCGTTTCCTTCCTCTAGCCCCATCCTATGTGCCCTCATCTTTGGCCAGCACTTCAGCTGGTCCAGGTTGTTTTCTTGGTGAAATCACCTAGGCCTTCATTGCTGAGAGGTCCTTGATCACCATGTCCTTGTCAGGTCATTGTTGCTGCAACTGCCTGTTTGCTTTCATCAGATAGGAAGCGCCAAGAGGCACCCCAGTGAACCCCCCAAGTTCCAGACCCCATGTACTCCTTCCTGCCCCCACTAGGAGGCAGTGATCCTGGCTCCTCATGCTAATCAAAGTAATAACCTCTGATAGTAATTGACCTTTCTTTGCCTGCTGGTCTAATGTCAGGAAGACCAAAATGGCCAGGCAGCAGCTGTAAATTTAGGTTTAGGGGACTCTTTACCATATTCCCTGCTGAAAGCATCCTCCCCCAGGAACCAGGATTTCTAGCCCAGAGGTGTCTAGAACTGTGGGAACAGGAAGCACAAACTCCTGAGGTGGACCCCTGGCAGTGATGGTGATAGGGCCCACTCCCACTCTACCCCTGGGTTCCTGGACCCACGTGTCCTGTCTGTCGGGGACGCAGCACCATATAATAACCACTGGTTCAAAATATATACTGCATTCCAAACCCCAGGGTGCATGCCCAAGTTGATGCCTTGGCTGCGCATTTAATTCCAACATCCTATCAGGCCTGCCGTTTCTGGGTGACACGGTATTTGGTAGGACAAGTAGATCCCATGGTCGTGTGCTCATTGCTGTACCTCCTTCACTGTAAAGTAGGTCCCTTATCTGAGGTCATATTTTATGGGATCCGTGATGACAACTCACACACTGTAAGTCCTTTGACGCTCTGTCGTCCTGTAGTGCTGGCGGAGGCACTGCGGGCAGGAAGGCAAACTTAGAACATGTATCAATCCCCAAGAAGATGGGTCACCTTCTAGGGCGGAAGGTGTCTGATGCAATCAGTTTACCTGTAAGTAGCTTGTTGGACTTGTTGATATGGGAGCATGGTCCCATATTAAGGGCTCACAGTTGGTCTCTGTTGCTGAGATTGGCTGTTGGGTCCATGCATAACCTCTGTCTCTTCGACCATCGTCACTGTATTCATGGATCCACAGGGCAAGTGTGGAGTGGCTGAAGACTGTCTGTTCACCTCCACTGGATAAGCAATCCTGTCCGCCTGGTTATTCAGGTGGGCGCTCTTGGGTGGGCATTGATATGAGACTCAAAGATCCACACACTTTGTGCCCTCTCCGTAGATCCATCTACTTGCTCTTCCCCAGAAGTCTTCGTCTCTGATTTTCTAATCTTCCTCCTACAAGTCCTCTGACCAATCAGGTGAGCCATTTGCACTGCCCTGAAGGCTGCGTATATCCCTCCTCCTGACCACTTCTCCCTCCATGCCAAGTTCACGACCAGGTCTACTGCTTGAAGCTCTGCTCACTGGGAGGATTGCCTCTCACCACCGTCTTTCAGGGCCAGCCCTGAGTGGGCCGTAGTTCGGCAGCACTCATTTTGAGTTCTTACCAACATGTCAAGCCTACCCACTTGTGAACCAGACCTGGTTTTTCCTCCTCCATGAGCTGTCCATAGGGAACCTCCAATGAGGCCACAGGGACGAGCTGAGCAAGGGGCGCTGGTTTGAGTAACCTGTTCGTGTCCTCTGGCCCTCCTCAGGCTCAATCTCAAATGTGCCATTTCCATCCTAAACTGAATTGCTGCTGGGCCCACCCAACCTTATGACATGGTGGGTCTGAAAATACGCAGCTCCTGATGGACAACTCGGGTCACGTAGTAACTTGCTGTCCAATGGTCAAGCGCTCACTCCCTGCTGGGGCCCAGTAGCATGCCAGGAGTGGCTTTTAAAATGGCAAATAATTCTCTTCTGCAGATGGCGTGACCTTGCTTGAGAACAGGACTCAGCAAACTGTGACCTGTGGGCCAAATATGGCCCATTGCCAGTTTTTCTATGACCTACAAGTTAAGAATGGTTTTTATATTTTAAATGATTACACTTTAAATGGTTATTTGAATACCTACACAATATCCTTGATTTTTCCTCTTGGCCTGCAAAGTCTAAAATATCGTCTATCTGGCCCTTTAAGAAAAGTTTGACAGCCCTAAGCGTCCGCACTAGAATTCTCTTATTGGGACTTACCAGAGACTTCACATGGTATCCTTGTCCACCACGGATACTTCTAGCACTGTGGGGGCTGCCAGGCTGTATGGCCCAATCAGCAGGGCTGCCTGAACCTGTCAGAGAGTTTTCTATCTCTCTCTCTTTTTTTTCTTTTTTTTGAGGAAGACTGGCCCTGAGCTAACATGCGTGCCCATCTTCTTCTGCTTTATATGTGGGACACCTGCTACAGCATGGCTTGCTGAGCGGTGCCAAGTCCGCACCTGGGATCTTAACTGGCAAACCCCGGGCCGCCAAAGTGGAACGTGCACACTTAACCACTGCGCCACTGAGCTGGCCCAGAGAGTTTTCTCTTGATCTGGGCCCCACTGGCAGCCTCCTGACTCACTTGATAAACTCAGGGCAGTATTTCCAAGTATGGTAGCATCTCAAAACCTGAAGAATCCTAGCAAGCCCTGTAATCATTTAAAATATAAAAACCATTCTTAACTTGTAGGCCATACAAGTGGCCTGATGTGTTAGCTTGGGCTCTGTGTACAATAGTTTTTGAAATACCTGGGTCTGCCTCTTTCCCCAGTGTACAATTACACTGATAAATGGCCGAGTCTGAGAACTGATGCGAATTTGCAAACCAGGCAAGGGATTCTGATTTTCCGTTTTGGCAGCCGACATCAGCCTTTGGCACATCCGCTTTTGATCTGTTCTGATGGCATAAGTCAAACAATACCCTCACTGGCCATCCATATATCTCAAGTCTAGGAACCCCAAGGTCTGTTAGCCGCTGCTGCAAATCCTGTTGGTCAAGGCCTCCTGGCTGCCGTTTTGGTCTTGCTCCTCATTATGTCCACCTTGCCTCTGATGGTTAAGTGCTGCCACCTGGCCTCCTGTGTCCTGCAACCCTATCATCTCCATTGGTGCCGGGAAGCCTGGGTCCATAGGAGCATCTCCTACATCAACTCTGGCCTACAGAGGACAACCACCGCCGAGCTTCTCAACAAGGCCTATGTCCCCTCACTAACGTGTTCCTTATGTCCTCTGGGAAAGGAGTCAGAGGCAGGCTCGGAGATAAAGATTTGAGTGCTAGTAGTTTCTTCGGGTGGTGGTCCCAAGAAACACCAGTGGGAACATGAGGGCATGAGACAGGGAAGGGAAGGAAGCCAATAAAGGGTGTCATCGAGCAGGTTTCTGCCATGGGCCATGGGCTCAGTCCTGCTGGGACCTCTGGGAGACAGGGTTGAATATAGCTCAGAGTTACCCTGCCCGAAGGGTGAGGGAGCTGGGGTATTTATTCCCTGTCACTTGTCTGTCATTGACTGAGAGATGCTTTTGGAGGCGCTAACTCTCCAGCATTCCCAGCCTGCCTTGCCCTCGGAAAGCCCTCAGGTGGAGAGTAGCCTGTGCCTGTGGTGGGAGGCTGCCTACAGGCACAAAGACGGTGAGGGGCCATGGGCGAAACAGCAAGGGCCTGCAGCCACCACTTGCTCGTGCATTCGACAAATACTTATTGGGTACCTCCTGTTCTTGGCCCTGAGGATATAGCAGGGAAGAGGGACATGTGGTCGCCACTCTTACAGAGTTTTCCTTCTCACCAGGGAGGCAGACAATAAACTGGCAAACCAAACAACTACAGAGTGTGCAATGTGCTCTATAGAAAATATTAGGCTGTGATTAGAGGATATTGGGGTCCGTGTGTGGAGGGTGAGGAGCAGAAAGGGCGGGTCTCTCAGGAAGCAGCATTTCAACCAAGAACTCAAGGAGAAAAAGGAAGCCAGCCACATTTCTGCCTAGGGAAAAGCATTCCAGGTGCAGGGAACAGCAAAGACAAAGATTCTGAGCAGGAAAGAACGTGGTGCATTTGTTTAAGGGGGAGGGGGAGAGAGGAGGAAGAAATGTACCCGCGGTGGCACCCTCCGTGAGGTTGGCTGTTAGGGTTCGCTCAGGAGTTTAGGTTTTATTCTAAGTGCAATGGGAAGCTTTGGAGGGTTAAAAGCTGGAGTGGCATGATTTGCTTTGTCTTTTAGAAAGCTTTCTCCAGTTTCAAGCCCACCACCTCTTCTCCCACTCACCCATGTAGATTCTTGTTCAGTGCTAGGCTCTGGGGACACCGAGAAGAATTAGCCAGGTCCCTGCCCCCAGGGGTGCTCAACTCTCCTCCCTGCTTCAGTCTTGCCTCCAACCAACTCCCCTCCCACGCCCCACGACACTTGACACAGAGTCATCCATCCGAAGCTAGTTTATTTTGGTTGGTTTTTCACAGGGCAGGGCTGGGCTGGGTGGGAGCCGGCTGGGCTCCCAAGCTTTTTCTAAGGACTTTGATCCCCTTCCTCAGCGCTGCGGCGGCCAAAGTCCATCCATCCGTAGGCTGCTTCTTCTTTTTCCAGCCATGGCCCTTGCTTCTTGGACAGGTCTGACGGTCAGAGGAGGGGGAGGAGGTGAGGATGGAGGAAGGATGCCTGGCCTCTGGAGACTGAGGCCAAGGCCAAACCTGGCCGGGGTGGCTGTCAGCTGCTCTTACCTGCTACCAAGTGTGGGGAACCCTGGAGCCCCAGCTGCCTTCGGTGATGAGAGGCTGGGCCCAGCCTGTCCAGCTGGTCTGGCCAATGCGGGTCCAGGCCCTTATTGGCCCCTGGACCTGAGGGTGCGTCCTGCAGCTGGGAGCAGGGCTTCCAAGAAGCTTCGGAGAAGGCGGCCAGAGCCAGCGCAAAGATCAGCACATACACACACAGTCGCCGCATCTTGTCTGCAAAGGAGAGAGGGGCTGACCTTAAAGGTGGGGCTGTCCAGGCACCCGGAAGCGGGGCCCTGGACGGACGGCCTCCAGGCCCTCCTTGCTGACGGGTCTGCTGTCCTGCGCTGGGTTGCGGATTGTCCCTCCAGGGAGCTCCTCCAGCTCCTGCCGGCTCCCGGGCGCCCGCCTGGGCCTTTCCTCCTTACTTCCCCCAATTACAGCAACTGCTTCTCTCGGAGGATTTTAAAACCTAGAGCAACGTTTTCCAAACTGTCCTGCAGAATTTGAGGCCGTGTGAGCGGCTCTGTAGATGTTTACGTCTTGTAATTTAAAGAACTTTTCAATAGTAAAACCCCACAAACCGAAAATTCAAATCTAAACTTCGGTTCTCTGGATTCATCGCCTTTGTCTTCTTCTAGCCTCGTTGTTCTGATTGGCTCTATCAGAAGTAAATTACAAGAATTTTTACCTTCTCAGAACACACTGGTATGAATAAAACGCTGCCTTGATCTGTTTTTCGTGGTGGGGTTCTCGGTTAGATTTCTTTTGGGAGAGAAAGAGTTTTGCTGCTAAAGAAACAAAGCTGAGCAATCAGTGCTATAGACCATGCTGTCCGCTATGGTGGCCACCAGCCACGTGTGGCTCCTTACGTCTAAAAGAATTAAAGTGAAAGTTCTTCCCTGGCCTTGCCGCATTTCCAGTGCCCACGTGGCTGATGGATACCGTGGTGGACGGTGCAGATAGAGAACATCACCATCATCGTGGCACGTTCTTTTAGACAGTGCTCATCTAAGAAAGTGCTTGAGATGGGATCCAGGAGCCCTGGGGTCCAGTCCCAGCCCTGCTCAATAATTTGTATGACTTTGGGTAAGTCACAGCTCCCTCTGGGCCTCGGTTTTCTCACCTGCGAGATGGGAGAATAGCCTTCATCCTCTCACCTTGCAGGGCTAAGGTGAGCCTAGAGTAAGAGGGGCAGGGCAGGGCCCTGGGTGAAGGAGCAGGTCAGCTGGAAGGCAACGGTTGGGAATGCCAGGGTGGGTCCCAGAGCTGAGGCGTAGTCCGACCCTGGGCTGAAGAGAGGGCCTCAGGCCTGGAGACACCGAGGTCTGAGCCTGGTACCTTGACCGGGGTAGGGGTCCTGTCAACCCTCTTCCTAGCCTCTGCCCCCTTCGTGGGTGCCTCACCTGCAGAGCTGGGACGTGGGAGAAGCTGCGGCTGGCCTGGTGCCTCTCTGTTCTCTGCTTTGCTTGGGGCTCCAGCCCTGCCTTATAAAGCTCTCAAGGTCCCTCCAGAACCCTCCTCCCCCATGAGGCCAGGCTGCCCACAGCGAGAGGAATGGGGTGGGTACAGGTCCATCGCCCCTGCCCCGCCCTGTCACTTGGAGTCAACCAGTCATCCGGATGTGGGGGAAGGGAAGGGGAGCTGACCTCCGCAGTGAGGGACAGGAGCAAGGTGGGGCATTTCTTCCGCTGAGTATGAGGGCAGGTAGGAGACAGGCTCCTGGGGTCAGGAACAGTGCCCCCCGCCACGTCCTTGGGGTCAGAGGCCTGGTGCTCATCCCTTGGACCACGTCCCATTGAGGGGCAAGTGAGGCAGATGGACCAAATGACCTTAGATTGAGAGAAGCGTGTTTCATGACACATTGATGTTTGAAGAGCAGGGAGTGTGTGAATGTGGAGTGATGTATTGACCCCCTGTCCCCTCTGCCGGGCTCTGCAAACAGGACGTGTGGCAGTTATCAGGAGCAATGAGCCGTGGGCTGATGGCCCCGCTCTCTCTGCCTAGTGGCTGCGTCCTGGTTGCCTCTAAACCCCCTTCACATCCCCTCACCTGGAAAACCCTGGCCGCCCTCGCTCCTTATGCCCTCTGTGCTGGGCTGGCTCTAGCTTGCAGACCCCTCATCTCTCCAGGTCTGCCCCTCAGCCTCCATCTCTTGCAAACCTCCTGCCCAGAGCCAATTCCTTGAGGCTCCTGCACTTCTAGCCTCCCTTATTTTGTTCTCAAGGGGAGATAGTAATCTGCATAATGTGTTCACCACTTTTCAACACAAAAATACATTGTAAAATGGTTAGCAAAGAGACTAAAAGAATTGTCCAAGATGTACCGGAAAACCAAATGGTGTGCTTGTTGACTTATTTGGTAAATTCCTGCCTCGACCACGTTTGGATGGATGTAACCAGCTCCAGGCTGTTCTTGATTTTTCAGCTGGGACAAGAGATTCTGCTCTTGTTTCTGCGTCATCGGAGCCCCTCCCTGTCTGGAGGAGTTTTGATGCCCCTTGGGTCCTGGAGAAGGGGCAGTGGTACCCACCCTCGCAGCCAGTGTTGCTGAGAATGAAGAGGTGATGAGGGAAGCAGCCTGGGAGGTGTCCATGGCAACCAGCGGCAGAATGTTCTGGTGAATAACCACTCTAATCCAGAGCAGGACTCGGTGACTCGGCAGATGGGATAAATGAAAATGGTAAAAACAGCGCAGGCAGTGGTGATAATTAATTGAATCACAGGATCTCAGAGATGGAAGGGACTAGGAGGGGGCTTGGGGGAAGGGCGGGGTGGGGAGCAGCTCTGCTCACATCCTGGGGGGACAGAGCCTTTCGTGTTGCCGTGGTAACGGGAAATTATAAGCTTTCAGCAGAGCGCTGGTTGTTCCGGAGCCCAAGACTTGATTTCTGGCCCCTTAGCTGTTCTTCTGCAGGCTGATTGCACGAGGGGGCCGACTGCATCAGAGAAGCGCGGACTCCCATTCAACAGGCGATGGTGGGGCGCCGCTGTCTGTAGGCGCTGGCGGGCTCGCGGGAGGGCTGTGTTCAGAGCTGAGAGAGACAGCCCTTGCCCCAAGGAGAACACAACCACAGGGACTGCGTGTTCTCCTCATGGGGAACCTTGTCCGGTGGAAAAGGGAAGGTTTCCGGCGCTGCCCTTTGGAGCTGTTGAGATTTGGGCAGATCTCTCGCCATCTCTGAGCTCTTTTCTCCTCCGGGAAATGAGGAAAACAACTTGGGGAGGAGTCCTGTGAATGTGGTGTCCACAGAGCGCTGTGCCCGGGCCCAGAACTTCGCGGGTACATACTGTGTTTGCACCTTCTCCCCTTGGCCTCTCTGGGCCTCAGTTAGCCTCCTCTGTGAAATGGGAATCATTCATTCCTACCTCGTAGGGCTGCAGTGAAGGGGAAATGTGACAAGGTCTGTGCACACGCTTTGCACACATGGGGAGCTTCTCCTCCTCCAAGGATTAAGGAGGGTAATTCCCTAAAAACCATCGTCTGTGAACCCAAGGTTTTCCCCCCTGCTGGCCGTGACCCAGAGGGACACCTGCCCTGAGCTGCCGTTGGAAGAGGAGCCTATGGAGGCTGGACCTCTCAGAGGCCAGCACCAAATGGTGTGCAGCGGGCTTTGGAACTGGTGAGGCCGGGGTGGGATCCTGGCTCCAACACTCTGACTAGCTGGGTGACCAGAAAGTCCAGTTTCTGGGTCTATCAAGTTGAAGACCAGATCCCAGCCCCTGGGGCCCAGCCGCTCTGCTTCCCCGTGGACCTGACTATCTCCACGACGATGACAATTCTGGGTGCCAGGCACCCAAAAACGCTTTGTACATGTGAATGCAACTACTCTTCTCCATGAGCCTGGGATGTAAGTGCTAGAGTGTCCCCATCTTACAGAGGAGGAAACTGAGGCTCACACAGGCGACACAATTCCTGTCTGAATTCACGTGACCAAGAAGGAGAGCTGGGCTTGAAACTTGTCTCTGTCCTCCTGCTTCTGGATCCCAGGAGGGGTGTGGTAGGCTGAATAGCAGTCCCCCAAAGATGTCTGTGCCCTAGTCTCCGAAACCTGTGAATATGTGACATTACATGGCAAAAGGGACTTTGCAGATATAATTAAGGTTATAGACTTTAAAATGGGGAGCTTATCCTGGATTATCTGAGTGGGCCCAATTTAATCAGATGAGCCCTTAAAAGCAGAGAACATTCTTCAGCCAGAGGTAGAAGAGACGTGGCTGAAGGATGAACCACACATTTGAAGAAGGAGGAGGCCTCGACCTGCCCTCGCTGGTTTGAAGATGGGACGGGGAGAGCGACAGACCAAGGAATGCATGTGGCCTTAAGAAGCTGAGAGGGGCCCTGGGCTGAGGCCCCGCCACTGCAAAGAACTGAATTCGGCCAACAACGTGGATGAACTTGGAGGTGATTCAGCCCCAGGATCTTCAGAAAGGAAGGCAGCCTGGTAATTTCGGCCAGGGAGCCGTGCTGTACCTGGACTTCTGACCTACAGAACTGTGAGAGAATGAATTTGTGTGGTTTTAAGCTTGTAAATTTGTGGTAATTTATTACGACGACAGCGGAAAACGAATACAAGGGTTTCCAGCCTTTTGAAGGTTTCTGTCAGTAAGAATGGCCCTGCATGAGTCCGCATGGGATTTTTCAAACGCAATTTTTAGAGAGGTGTTCGTTGAGATATTCAGCCGTGCGTCTAGTCCACTTTCACCCCAGTTATTGAGCACCTGCTGAAGCCAGGGTCTGGACGAGGCCCTGGGGATAGGAGGTGAATGTGATCAGCCCTCTCATTGCGTTGATGGAGTTCAGACTCTGTGGAGGACACAAAAAATACGATGTGAAGGGGACAATGTTCCCTGGGAGGAGACTCCCCAGGGGCGACTCCGCACGCCTGTACCACACTCCTGCCTGCCAGGCCGGCCTTGGGAAACATCGCCACTGAAGAGCTGCAAACGCTGGCTTCCTAATTGGTTATTGATAGCGGAAAAGGGAGAAGCTGATAAGGACTCAGTCACCCTGCCCCAGGCAACTGGGCCTTGGAGGGAGTGAAGGTGCGGGGACAAACAGTGACACCTGGGAGGTGTTCCAGTCAATACGGGTATCCAGTGGTCGTCCCCCCCAGGGCAGGGGGCTGGGGAGGGGGGAGCGGGCTTGTGACTTCTGCCTTCACCTGCTGCCCAAGTGATAAGCTAGCAGGACCCAGAGGACAGCTGCTCCCAGGCTGAGCTGGCGAGGCCACCCCCCAACCTCAGGGGCCAGGTGACAGCCCGGCTGTCTAGGAGAGAGCAGAGGGCACCCCTCCCACTCCAGCCTCTGCCTTCTCTCCCAGGCCCTCCCCTCTCACCTTCTCATCTGAAGCCCACCTGTACCTTTGGAGCAGTTAGGGTCACCAGGGGAGCTCTAACCGGCCCCTGTGCCCAAGTCACACCCAGGTCCCCTGGAATCAGAAGCTGGGGAGCAAGACCCAGGTGTCACTGGAGTCTGTGTGCAGGACAAGGCAGGAGGCTTTGCAATCCTGGGCTCAAACCCGAGCTTTGGCACTTCCTAACTGTATGTGCCACCTAAGGCAAATCACAGACTTGAGGATGATACTGGTACTTACCGGAGGGTCCTGGCGAGGGTTAAATGAGGCGCCTGCAGCATTCACCTGGTCTCTGAAACATGGTAAATTCTAAGTGAAAGTCTGCTATTATTTTCGGTATTTTCCTTACCACAGTCTTACCCGCACTTCATCGTGCTACTGCATCCCACTGACTTCCAGAATATTCTGCCCCTTTCCTGGGTTATTTTCCTCTCTACTCATCCCTGCAATAGTCCCTGGAGGCCTCCCCTACAGGGTAATGCCCCCTCCTTCATGCAGGCCTCACACTCGCTCCTCATGTCCACCTACCTTCTGCTTCCCACAGCCCTGGTCACATCCTGGCCTCCCTCCTTGGGACGGAGTCCCCTCCCATATCTTAACAATAACCCCGTGCACTGTTGAATGAGCCCTCCCAGGGCACATTATCTCGCTTAATACTCAAAATCAAGCCCAAAACCCTGTTTGCAGACCGTCAAAACCCATTACATGCACACTTTTGTCAAAACCCACAGAGTGCACGCTTAGCCTTACGAATTCCATTGTATGTAAATTTTACTAAAAAGAAAAGAACTGTAACAAATGTTGAACTCTAGTTAAGGAATTGTTTAGGGCAAAGTGTACTGTGAATTTATTTTGAAATGCATGAAAAATAAGACAGACGGATGGATAGATATGAGGTTGAGAACAATAAAATGTAAATTACAGAATCTAGTGATGGGCATATGAGTGTTCATGTTAAAATTCAACTTTTCTGTGTGTTTGAACATTTTTATAATAAAACATTAGAAACTCTTTTGTGTAGCAATATCTGATAGTGGTTTTAAGTGGGAAAATAATCTTGAAAGTAGCTATGTGAGAGCAGTCTGTACGCAGGCGCAGCTCAGAGGTGAGGAGGGGAGGGCCAGCCCGCCTAAGTTGCTTGCTCCAGGCCCGCAGGTAGACCGGGAGGGAGCTGAGCTGTGAACCTGGTCAGATTTCTTGGACTCCCTGTACTGCTGTCTTTCCTCGCCCACCCTCTCTGCAGAAGCCCAGCTCCCGCTGAATCTACGTTCATGGTAGCCTCTAGTTCCTCCCCCTGCCCGAGTCCCCACAACCTACCCACCCTTCCTGGTCTCATGGTCCTCCCTCCCCAACCTGGCTTCACAGTTTGTCATTTCAGGTACGTGTGCAGCACCTAGACTGCTGCCCCTGTCCTGCTTCAGAACCGGCCAGGCTGGTCCCCCGTTCCTGGAGAGGACACCATCACCCCATCCTCAGCTCCTGTCTCCCTCTCCTTGCAAACGGGAAAGTTCCTGAAAGTGACCAGTTGATTCAATTACAGATTAATGTTCTGCAGCTGCGTTGTTGCCTGGCAACCTTGTGACTCATCTCTCCCCTCCCTCCTAGCGTCACCTGACGTCAGCCCCTTTTGCTCGCCATGACCACGGTTGTCTGAGTCCACCTTCCGTCCTTTTCTCCTTTCCCCCAACACTGGAGGGTGCGGAGCCCTGTTCAAGGTCAGCCTCTCCACCAGGGCCCTTCATCGCAGAGCCCTCTTGCCTCCTTAGAGACCATGTGCCTTCACTTTTTCATTCGTTCATTCATCTATTTATTCAACAAAAAATTTCCTAAGTGCCCACGTTGTGTCAGGCACTGTGCTGACTCTGGGGACACAATGTTGGTCACCAGGGTGTTCATTCCTTTTCTCTTGGAGGGGAGAGAGTATGATATGAGCTTAAGGTGCCCTGGATGGTTGGGAGGGGAGGTAGGCAGGGAACACTTCTCCTTCCCCCTGGACCTTGAAGCTCTCCTACCTGCAAGCCTGATGTTTACAAAACATTTTCACCTCCCCTTACCAGAATAACACTGATTAAAATTTAGGGGGCCCTTCCATGGGCAGGTCCCCATGCTAAGCACTTTACATGCATTACGTCTGCCAATCCTCACCACAACCCCATGAGGAGGGTAACACTATGGGCCCTAGTCTTTAGCCAAGGAAACTAAGGCACAGAGAGGTTGGTGATTTTGGGGAGAAACAATGAAGCAATCCACCACAGGCCTTGAGCATCCCTGAATGTTCTTGCTGAGTTTGCCAGGAATGCAAGGTCATGACCACTCTTTCTCCTGGCCATTTCTCAGGGTTGGGTTTGAAGTGAGTAATCTTGAAGGATGAGGTAATATCTCCCTATGGGACAAAGTGCAGGCTTGCTACTCCTGGCTATAAGAGCAGTAGATTCCCCAAGCTCAGTGTTCCTCAGCTGCAAGCAACTACTGCCCACATAGAATCTATGTGGGTCCATATTGTGTCACCACCAAGGAACTCAGGGGCAAGGGGAACTGATGTAAATCATGCTGCTAGTTGGGTTGTGAGTAGTAAAGTTCTTTGTCTCTGACCCGGGAGTCTTGTGTCTTCTGCCAGCATTGGTGAAACAGTATTAGGATAACTTATCGGCTTGTAAGTCAGGTAAAATCAAATACCACACTCAACCCAGCGATTTGCCCAGGACACAGCTCACTGGACACATAGCTGAGACTGGAACCTAGGCAGTTGGACTCTATGAACATTAAAACAGTCTTTCCTTGCTGCATTTCTGCTTCCTCTACAGAGATCTTCCTTCCCTTCACTCTGTCTATCAAGCCAGTGACTGGGGTTGGTGGGAGTGACAGGCAGTGGGGGCAGGGAGAAATGGGGGGTTCTGGTGGCTGACCTCACTTGACTGTTGTAAAAAGCTATTTCAGGGAAGGGAGAAGGGGCAGCACATTTCTTTAGGCTTTCCTGGAGTTCTGCATTTATAAACCCACCTAATTCCAAACTCTCCCTGGCAGAGGGTAGAGGACATTTTCATTCACCGGCCAAAGTGGGGCTGCCATGCGGCAAGGGCAAAAACCCTGCCCATAATTTGCCCACCCAGCCAGCTTTGAAATGATGTAATTAAAAAAGTATACATATACATCTAACCGGTTTATTGAGATATAGTTCACGTATCACACCATTCACTCTTTTAAAGTATACAATCCAGTGGCTTTTGGTATCTTCACAAAGTTGCACAACCATTACCATTATCTAATTCCAGAACATTTTTGTCATCCCAAAAGGAAACCTCATACCCGTCTGCAGTCACTCCTCGTTCCTCTCAGCTCCTGGCAACCACTAGTCTACTCTCTGTCTCTATGGATTTGCCTATTCTGGACATGTCATATAAACAGGATCATACAATATGTAGCGTTCTGTGTCTGATTTCTTTCACCTGGTGTAATGTTTTCAAGATTCATTCATGTTGAAGCACGTAACAGTACTTTGCTCCATTTTTTGCTGAATAAATATGCCATTGTATAGATATGCTACATTTTTTTTTTTTTGAGGAAGATTAGCCCTGAGCTAACATCTGCTGCCAATCCACCTCTTTTTGCTGAGGAAGACTGGCCCTGAGCTAACATCCATGCCCATATTTCTCTACTTTATATGTGGGACGCCTACCACAGCATGGCTTGACAAGTGGTGCCACGTCCGCACCCGGGAGCCGAACCAGTGAACCCTGGGCTGCTCAAGTGGAACGTGTGCACTTAACCACTGCACCACCGGGCCAGCCCCATATATACTACGTTTTATTTATTCATTTATCAGTTGATGGACATTTGGGTTGTTTCCACTCTGGTTGTTATGAACGATGCTGCTATGAACATTTATGTACAAGTCATTGCCTGAACATATGTCTTCACTTCTCTATGTTTAACTCTCTTCATATGTTCACGTCTCTATGTTAAACCCTGTGTTTAACTTTTTGAGGAACTGCTGGGCTGTTTTCCTCCGCGGCTGCGCCATTTTACATTTCCACCAGCAATGGATGAGGGTCCCCACTTCTCCACATCCTCCACCAAACATTATCGTCTGTCTTTTTGACTACAGCCATCCTAGCGGGTGTGAAGCGGCATCTCACTGTGGGTTTTTTTTTTTAAGATTTTATTTTCCCTTTTTCTCCTGAAAGCCCACTGATACATAGTTGTATATTTTTAGTTGTGGGTCCTTCTAGTTGTGGCATGTGGGACGTCGCCTCAGCATGGCCTGACGGGTGGTGCCATGTCTGCGCCCAGGATCTGAACCAGTGAAACCCTGGGCCGCCGAAGCAGAGCGAGCAAACTTAACCACTTGGCCACAGGGCCGGCCCCTCACTGTGGTTTTGATTTGCGTTTCCCTGATGGCTAATGATGTTGAGCATCTTTTCGTATGGTTATTGGCCATTTGCAGGTCTTCTTTGGAAAAATGTCTCTTTAGACCCCCTGCCCATTTTTCAATTGTGTTCCCTTTTTATTATTGAGTTTTATTATTGAGTATCACTTTCTTGATAGCATCCTTTGAAATGAAAGTTTTAAAATTTGATAAAGTCTGATTCATCCATTTTTCTTTTGTCACTTGCAATTTTGGTGTCTTATCTAACTAAGAAGACTTTGCCTAATTGAAAGCCATAAAGATTAATTCTTTTATTTTCTTTTAAGAGTTCTGTAGTTTTAGGGGCCGGCCCGGTGGCACAGCAGTTAAGTTCGCACGTTCTGCTTCTCGGTGGCCCGGGGTTCGCTGGTTCGAGTCCCGGGTGCGGACATGGCACTGCTTGGCAAGACATGCTGTGGCAGACGTCCTACATAGGAAGTGGAGGAAGATGGGCACGGATGTTAGCTCAGGACCAAGCAGCAAGAAGAGGAGGATTGGCTGTAGACATTAGCTCAGGGCTAATCTTCCTCAAAAAAAAAAAAAAAAAAAAGAGTTCTATATTTTTAGGGGCTGGCCCCGTGGCTGAGTGATTAAAGTTCATTGTACTGCACTTAGGCAGCTAGAGTTCACGGGTTTGGATCCCGGGTGCAGACCTACCCTGCTCATCAGCTATGCTGTGGTGGCATCCCACATACAAAACAGAGGAAGACTGGCACAGAAGTTAGCTCAGGGCTAATCTTCCTCACGCACACAAAAAGAGTTCTGTATTTTTAGCTTTTTTATTTAGGTCTACGATCCGCTTTGAGTTAATTTTTGTATCCAGTGGAAAGTATGGGTCCATCTTCACTTTTTCGCATGTGGATATCCCCTTGTCCCAGCATCATTTGTTGAAAAGACTATTTCTCCCCATTGAATTGTCTGGGTACCCTTGTCGAAAATCAGTAGACTGAAATATGATGATTCCTGACAATTTGTAATTTGTGTTATTTCAAATGTAATGTGTAGAGTGAGGCTTTATTAGTGTGTTTTATAACAGCTTCGCAACTTTCCAGGCACACCAGAGTCCCCTGGAGGTCTTGTGAAGAGGCAGATTCTGATTGGGTTCGGCTCAGATGGGCCCTGGGACTGTATTTCTAACAAGTTCCCATGTTAGCCCAGTGCCGTTGGTCTGCAATCACACTTGGAGTAGCAGGCCTTTATAAAACGTGATTTCTTTTCTTTTTAAATATTCTTTTCTGTGTTTTCTCCCCAAATCCCCCCAGTGCATAGTTGTATATTTTAGTTGTGGGTCCTTCTAGTTGTGGCATGTGGGACGCCACCTCAGCATGGCCTGACAAGCAGTGCCACGTCCGCACCCAGGATCTGAACTAGCAAAACCCTGGGCCACTGAGGTGGAGTGCACGAACTGACCCACTTGGCCACGGGGCCGGGCCCTAAAACGTGATTTCAAATGGCCCAATTTAAATTCACATATGAAAGCTCCAGTGAAAAAGAGGTTTGTGAGTAACTGCTCAAAGAGCTGGCAGCACACAGATTACCTTAAGAAATAAGAACTTCTCTCTCCTCATCGATTATCCAAAACTTAAAGCTACTCTCTCAAACAGCCCTTAAAAAGGAAATGAAAACCATAGGGTACTTCGAAAATTATAGCCATGAGAATTCTAAGAGATGGGGCCAAATCCAATTTAGAGCGTTAAAGCATTAAGGAATTAATATAAATGTGTGAATCTTCAAACTCAAGAAGTTAGAAAAAGAACTGCAAAGTCAACCAAGGAATGAGGGCGGAAAGAAAAATGATAAAAAGTGGAAAGCAATGATTGAGAAAAACAAAAAAAATGATAGGGTTGTTAAGACTGAGAATGGATTTTTTTTGAAAAATCAATAAAACAGAGAAACATCTAGCAAGACCAATTGTTCAAAAAACAGAAATCCCATGTGGTTAGACGTGAGAAAGAGGATTTAATTAACAAAGAGAGATTTTTAAAATTATAAGAAATACTATGCATTATTTTATGCTAATAAACATGATCATCTCAATAAAAGGGACAATTTTCTCAACAAAAGGGAAAAATACACATTTGCAAGATCAAGAAGAAAACTCAAATA